TTCATAACCCGGTCGTCGCAAAGAATCATTGAACTTATGAGGGCGGAAGTGATATTTCTTCAGGAACTCGTGACAAACCAGCTTGAGCAAGCCAATCATGTCTGATAGTGTCCGGTTGCGTTCCTCTAGGAGGTCTTCGAAAGAGGAAGTCAAAAGAGGCCGCACTCCCGATGACGAAGAGATTCGGAAGTGGAACATGGGCCAACGATCCAAGCCCCTCTTCGGTCGAACGTTCCTGTTAGCGAGACCTTTGAGGCTCACCAGTAGTTCATCCTGGTCCAGTGACATGTCCACGTCTTCTTCAATCGCAAAACCGGAGTTGACAAAGACGCGATTGACTTCCGTATACAATACGTTGGTGCCGTGTTCGTTAGCCACGGGGTGGATACCAAAGCTGATAAACTGGGCTCTGCGAGTTGCCACTGGACTCAACGAGATACACCCATCAATGGTTAGCTTCCCTCTTGTGGCCCCGATTGGGATCCATGAGACATGATCCAAGCCACCGGAAAGGCCTGACTGGGCCAAAATCAATGATGAGTGGCCAAGGAGATTGAATTTTGCCGTTTTAATTGACGTTGAGGTGGGCTTGAAGCGTATCTCATTATTGTGGATTGTGTCTCGGGCATAGAGGGCAACAGGCGACGGCCATGCCAGCAGGAGAGCGGCGAGGTCGTGAACCAGGCGGGACCACTCTTTGTCGACGGCAGCTTTCTCAGCAGCCACGGCTCTCTGCTTGACTCTGACGGCCATTGAACCGAAAAGGTCCCTAACGATGACTCGAGTTCCATGGGCAAAGGCAAGGAGGCGCTGTTCCGGTAAGGCAGGGACGTTGCGTGCCAGGACTTTGGCGTTATGAAGCGTCAGAGAGTTTTGGGAGTTGTGCAGATGGTGATGAGATGTGATGGAAAGCAGAGACAAGGCGGCAAGTGAGGCGAGGAAGTTGCCGCTGGCGCCGTGGGCCTCGCTCTCAGGGGAGTGTCTAGATGTGTCTAAAAATGCGTCAACCGACGATCGAACGGGAGCGTCAGTGCGGCAAGACTTACGGTACAGTTTGCCTAGTCCGCCAGCCTCCCGAAATTCGATTGGCAGGATTCCAAGCCCATCATCTTCGACTGTGCAGTTGCCCCGAGAGTAGTCGACGGTGATGTTGATCCTGGTTGCGCCTGCATCGAATGAGTTCTTGATAAGGCCGCAGACAACGGCGTTGAGAGAGGTGATGGTTGCTGAGGAACTGATGCGGCGGATGACGTCCTCAGGCAGCGGCTTAATGGACATGATGGCGGCTGTGGGCTCGAGGCGCCATGACGATGTGCCTTGGATCGAGCAAGCTGACCGCGATGCACGTGGGAGTTGGTTGTTGGGTACGTTTGGAAGTGTTGGTTCGCTCCTCCTTCATCCAAAAAGGGCCGGTGGATGTCGCTGCTGGGCGAGATTGTAAGTGAGACGTCACAATTCGACGGAAGGCGATAACGATAAGAGCGGGTGCCAGCTGCCCAATGGCCCAGCCACGGCACTTCAGGTGTGGCTGGGCTGAACGAGCCACTCACAGGGCAGCAACTACTACTGGACAGCCAATCTTAAAGGCCCCCCAGATGCCCAGGTAAGCGGGCGACATGCCACTCTGCCTCCGTACTTTCTTACAGTTCAGCTAGTCGCTCAAATCAACGCCATACGAGTCTGAGAGTTCGAAAGTGGGAACTAGGTGTCGCAGGTGTCTGAGAACTGAGCTGAGAGCTTTGACCATTCGATCGCGCCAGCAGGTAAACTGGAGGGCAAGGTGAAGCTAGCAGATTGTAGCGTACCGGTGGGAGTCTAGCAGTGTCGGAAGGCTGGAAACCTATTTGCGGCAGGACAACTTAAGGCCAGTAAGGTTTGGGTGGGTGCCTTGGTGGTAACGACACGAAGAAAGACGACGAGAGGTTGTAATCCGCTGTTGGTGCCTCAACCTGCCGTCTGATGTTGAGTACTGTGGCTGACATGGCCATCGAATGTCTTACATGTGATGCCTGTATCCGTATCCGTCGTGCATTGGATGGGTTAGGGGATTCAGTACGTATTCGCACGAATGACTATCTTATCTCTTACACCATCTCGTATTCAGCTGTGTGTGTCCGGATACGCAGCTGTCATGGCTGCACCAGGATATCGCACAGTCAACCAACGATGCTGGGAAGGACAAACCTACCTACCCCGGGCAGGTAGGATTGAATCGTTCGAGGACGGTGACATCACACTTCGGATGAGAGCACGGCAGCAGCAAGCAGTGATGACATAATGCAGCCTGATTGCGCTGGATATTGACCTCGCGGAGCATCAGCCAGTGACGGTTCGCACAGGTGGATGGAGTGCTGGCAGTAGGGGTCCACGTCCTGGGGGACCTTGCAGTGGAGTGATCCCAGCCCACTGCCAGTGGAGGGAGCCGCTCGCACTGGACCACCACACGTAAAGTAGGCACCACACCCGACCGGCGCACACCAGTTTCAGAGGTCAGTTGGGCGCTTCCCGGCTTACCTTCTGGCAGGCTACCTTACCCGGCCTGGGTGAGGCCGGGTGTCTGAGGTGAAGTGCTGGGAGACGGTGCCTGGTGATCCTTTCTAGCTGTTGCAGCTAAGGGTGCCTGAAATAAAACACACTGGGCTGCCTTCCATTCCATGCCCAAGATGCCTTACCTAAGGTACCTAACTTAGACGCCTAGTTGGACGGGCAGCAACACCACCTCGGGCAGTCCATGACTGTCGAACGGGCACTGGCCGGGGCCGCCGTGGATCGTAGTGGAGACTGCTGGGGACAGGGCGCTGCACCGCGGCCACGCTCCAGGGCAGTGTCCCCGCCCCGTCCAGCCCAGCCCTTCCACGGTGTCCAGCGTGCAGTCGTCCCAATTCGCTTCCAGCCCAGGCAATCAACCGCTCCGCTCGCCTTTGCCTTCCAACAATTCTGCCAAGCCTTTTTCGCCTTTCCCATCCCATTTCTGTCCTCCTCCTTCCCCATTCCCATTCTTTGCTCCTGCTCCATTTCCGTTGTCCACATTGCCCGCGAAATCCAGCCCGACGACCACATTCCTCTCCTACACACCATTCCGCTTCCTCCACCACGGTCGCTTCTTCATCTCCGAACCCGACTCTTCACCGACCATCGTTGCCGCCTTCGCTCTCGACATTCGCTCGACTCCTTTCTCTCGACGACATCCGAACTTTCACGCTTCGCCTCGCCATTTCCCCCTCCTGCGACGACTGCGATACGAGCGAGTCACTGCTGATAGTGCTTTTCTTCCAAACCACTCTTTCCACAACCACCGGCTCGACAACTCCACGAAAAAAAGTCCCACGCTTCCGAATGGCTACGACTGAGGCTGTGCTGCCACCCCACGGTAACTAAGCACCTTTCCTTACACTTCTCGCCGCCGCAACCATTTGCCCACAGTCCAATGCCTCGCCGACTTTCTCACTTGCGCCGCATCGCCAATCGCTCTGGCTATCCAGAAACTGACACCATGCTAGATCGTCCCGATCGTGCGGGTCGCCGCCGTCCCTTTTCCACCTGGGTCAAGAAACTCACCAACTTCAAGAGCTCTTCGTCAAGCGATGGCGGTGGTGTTCGTCTACCCAGCTCCAAGCGCCAACAGGCAAAGTTCCGCCGCGCCTCCAAGAACAACAATCCATACCCCCAGTCAGGCCGCGTAGCCTCGGCCAGCCATGCCGATTTCGATGTCGAGACCAGCTCCTACTCCTTTTCCACAGCCCTCAGCGGCAGCGCAACATCAGTCGAGCGAGAGTCGCGCGTATCATCCGATAACAGCGGCGCCCCGCCCACTGCTGGCGGCCGATCCATGGCCCCCACGATCTCGACAGACTACGATGGCGCGCATTCTGTTGTCGCCCCATCTCACCACGCCCCCTCGGTTGCGGGAACAAGTCGGACGGTTGGGGGCGTAGAGTCACGCAGGGGAGGCGACAGCACCTTCTCGTCACCGGCTCCGTCAGTGCGATCCCTGACGACCACTCTCACCACCATACAATCCATGCCAGCAAACGGCGGCACCCACGTGCCTACAAACCCGACCACCAACACCAACCACACCTCTCACCAGGGCCATACCCATTCGATACACTTCAACCAGCCCTTCCCGACTGCATCGCCCGCTTCCGCCATTCCAGCCCACTTGGCGCCATCAAACCAGGGTCCGGGCCACCCAGCGACGTACACCACAGCCACGGCCAACAACCTCCTTACCGATAACGCATCCATCATCACCTTGGCCTCGTCGTCGAAGCGCCGTCGCCGTCGTTCGCTCGATACTGATGCCTCCGTCCGCGCCCTGGCGCCTTCGTCATTATGGGGCGGCAGCCGCGAAAGCTTGCCTTTGAGCATCCTCAGCGCCAACATCGGGGAGGGTGCGGGCATGCCGACCACCCCAGGCCTCCACCAGAGCAGCTCACGTATCGCTAACGCCGAGCGCACCAGCATCTACTCGGCCACGGGCATTGCCCCCGCCTTGCCCGGCGAGCGCAACAGTTTTTATGCGAAGCAGAGCGGCGCCGGTGACGGAGCGAGCGTGCGGAGCGGCCTGTTGGGCCACGGCAGGTCGGACAGCATCAGTGGGAGCATTGGCGGCGTGGCCAGCCCCTTGACGAGCCCGCGGGAAGCCTCTGAGATCGGCGACACAGACGACAGAGAAGAGGGAACGAGCCGGCCAAAGGCAGGCGAGGATCGGTGAGGCGACACGATCGAGGCACTCTTGACGAACAAATTTTGCACTAATGAAATTGGACCGGGGATATCTGGGCGGCAGGCATCATTGGGTGGAACGGAGGCATCGGTTTATGGACGGGATCATGGATATATCACTACCACGGGGGCTCACACGCAGTCTAGCCGTGGACCTGCGCGTCAAGAATACATGCATTACGAGTGAAACAGTTCATACTTTTGACTACTTTGCTCATGTCGCTCACAAGTCGTATCCGAAAGGGGGAACACCTGCCTGATTTGTGTTTTTCTTAGTATGGCAAAGGATCGAGATCCAGCCCCTCGACGGAAAACTTGAAGGAATCATTGCGCGAGTAGCTGCCCGCGGTGTCGATATCCAGCCGCCCGCGGATGCAGTCCTCAAAGTCGACGTCAGAGTAGATGATGCCCTCGTCGTCCTCCCACTGCGGGCCCGCGAGCACGTCGCCGAACGGCCCGACGATGCACGATCCGCCGCGCGAGATCCAGTCCTCGCCCTTCAGCGCCGGCTGCTGCTGCTTCTTGGCCGTCGTGCCGTTGGTCGTCGTCGTGCTGGCGCCGTTGGTGGTGTTGGCGTTGTTGTCCTCGGCGTCGCAGCTCAGCACAATCTCGTTGCCGTCTTCGACGATGACGCTCTTCCTCCGCCGGCGGGAGGGGCTCGTGGCCGTCGAGGTGGTGCTCTTCGCGGTGGTCGTGCCATCAGCAGGCAGGGCGATCTCGTTGCCGTCCTCCGTCAGGCACGAGTTCCGCCTCGCGCGCGCGGGACACACCTCGGCATCCTCCACCGCAGCTTCCGTCGACGAAACCGGGGGCCGCACGGCCATGTTCGACGACACGACAAAGCACCGGCCCTCGCACGCGACGGTGCGCATCAGCGGCAGCCACGTGTCGCGGCCGTCGGCGGTCGGCGCGAGGTAGAGGTTGACGTTCTGCGCGTAGAGCGCCTGGCGCAGCAGCGGCATGTAGCTCTCCCAGCAGATGGCGGCGGCGAGGTTGAGGCGCACGCCCTTGATGACGGTCGAGACGGCTTTCAGCGTGGCGGGCGACCCCTGCGACCAGATGAGGCGCTCCGTCGCGGTGGGCATCACCTTGCGCCGCTTGCCGAGCATGCCGCTGCGCGGGCAGACGTAGACGACGGCGCAGTAGAGGCTGCCGCCGGCCTTCTCGATCAGGCCGACGACGAGGAAGACGCCCGTCTGGGCGGCGATGCGCTCGAGCTCCTCTCGCGAGCCGTCGCCGCGGGTGTAGCCCTTGCTTTCGGGGTCGGGGAACTGCGCGGGGAGGGTCTTGTTGATCCAGGCGGCGCCGGCGCCGGCGCCGCTGTCGCCGACGGTGTCGCCGAGGTCGGCGGCGTTGGCGAAGTAGTCGAGGAAGGCGTCGCGGCCGGAGGGCAGGCGGGAGCCGATTTTGCAGCCGAAGTCTGCGCCGCGGGGGTAGCCGCCGATGAAGGCCTCGGGGAGGAGGAGGAGGTCGGCGCCGTGGGAGGAGGCGCGGCGGGCGAGGCGGTCGATGAGGGCGAGGGCGAGCGGGGTCGTGGGGGCGGTGGCGGGGGAGGAGGTTGCGAGGCGGATTTGAGGCATTGTGGTTGTGGTGGTTTGGGGGACGGGTTGAAGCTAGTCTCGTGGCTGTTCCTGGATTCAGGGGACGGGACGGACGGATGTTGGGTTTGGGTATAATTATCACGGACTCACGATGATGGCGTGATGGGCGGCGGCGGCGGCTTGCTTCGGGTTTTAAGGCGTGGGGAAAGGGCGCTGGTGACACGATAAGAGGAGACTATGTGACCGTTTTTTAAGGGTATCGCCAAGAGGAGTTTCCCGCGGGCACTAGGGATTTGAAAAAAACTGCGGCTGAAGAAGTGTGAGTGATTAGTTGGACGTATCGACCCGCAACGGAGCTCAAGAAGGACAAGGTGTGTGAGGTGATTCAAACGCCGGTGGGCATGCGCAGTATCCGTAGCTAAGTAAAAAAGGCTCGGGTCGGTCGCCGATAGAAACTCTTACACGGAAGTGGGTTGGTTGGTTGCTGTGAAGACGGGAAACAGAAAGAGGGAAAGCTTACTGGGACGTCATCGCGGTTAGCTACCCCGCAGCGGGCGCCTTTCAGCTCAGTAGAAAGCGGAAGGGAAGGGAGGAGCTCCACGATGGGAGGAGGGGTACAAAGATACTTCCGTCGACGAACCCCTGTTTGAAGACCCCTGCGTGGGATGCTTGCAGCGGGTACGACGATCTTTTTTTTTTTTTGCGTCGTTGCGTGGGTAAGGGGAATTCGGCACGTGTTTCGACGCGGTAGATTGATAATGTTGATAGGTGCATTTATGCAGCAGATGGAGAGGCGGGATGTCGTTTAGTCTGGTGCAGTTTCGACGACGATCATGTCCTTCATAGCGGCAGGAAATCAAGGCTGAGTTGCGATGGCAGGAGAGGGTTGTTGGAAATTCCATTTGATAGAATGTTCTGTTTCGTAGACGATATTGGTAGTCTTCAGCAACTCTAGCACCTTACCCGCAATCTAGTCTGCGCAATCCCCAAGGTACTAACTTCAACCCTTCACATCAACTCATCTAATAAGTTACACAAATCAGCCTTGCGGACACGCGCCTCCGTAATGACCAGATCTCTTGGGAACCACTCCTCCAGCCGACCTCCAGGAAACCCAGGCCCCTTCTCGAGACTCTCCCCCTCCCGCCCCGAGATCATCACACCGAGCGCCGTGCCGCACCCCCAGGCCCACACCATGCCGTCGCCGCTATACCCGGCGCTCACCCACTCCCCGGCCTCCGCTCCCATCCACCCTCCGCCGTCCTCCTCCTCAACCTCCTTCACGGGCTTCTTCGCCACCATCCCCTTGCCCTTTCCCCTCCTCCTCCCCGAGATCCCCTCCGGTACCCGTCCAACAAACGGCGCCATATCCCCCGTCACCCCGATAATCCCGCTCCAAACCCTCTCCACCCTCCCATCCCACGCATCCCCAAACACCGCCCCCATCACGCCCCCGACATGCGCAACCGTCAGCCCCTCCGTGCTCCCGTCCTCGTACACGCCCACCATATCCACCCCCTGCCCCAGACTGCGCGCAAACCCCCCGCCCAGCATCACGTCCCCGTTCGGCCGCTGCGTGACGTAGTCAAACATGCCACCTCCATATAACACGCTCCACGACCTCCTCCCGTCCCGCCACGCGAACCTGCCTCCGGGCTTCTGCGCCGACATGTGCGCCTTCACGCCCGCCATCTTCCCCCTCAGCCCGGGCAGGAACTGCGACGCATGCGCGTTCGTCGCGTGCACCACATGCCGCGCCCGCACATCTCCGCGCCCCGTCCGGACCACATACGGCCTCCTCTCCGTGCCGCCCTCCGTCTCGATCCCCTCCACCGCCGTCCGCGTCTCGATGCTCACCCTCCCCCCGGCCGTATCAAGCATCTCCCGCCAACAGCTCGCCACCATCCGATACGGCCACAGCGCGCCCGCCTCATACACCAGCGCCCCAAAAACATGGCCCCCTTGGACCCCAAACTCCGTCCTCGCAGCCTCCCTCTCCACAACCCGTATCTTAAACTCCGGAACCGCCACCTTCAACTCCGCAACCTCCTTCTTCGCGCCCTCAAATGACGCCTCGTCCAGGAAGAAGTCCACCGTCTCGACGTCTCTATACTCCGCCACATCCCGTCCCCCGCCAACCTCCCCCACAAGCCCCGCCGTCTTCAACGTGAACCTAACCAACTCCCGCGCCCTCTCCTTCCCAAAAGCCCGCGCCAGCCGCGGGAACAACTCATGCGGACTCGCCTTCACATGCCCGCCATTCCGCCCCGTCGCGCCGGCACACAGCTCTCTTGCCTCCAGCACCACAACCCGCGGCACCTTCTTCCCTTCCTCCTCCTTACCACTCCCGAAAAGCAGCCCCCACACGACAGCCGCAGCCGTGATCCCGCTGCCGATGACCACCACATCCGCCTCGCCAGGCATCACCTCGCTCCGCGCACTCACGAGCTCCGGAAACGGCGGGTCGTCCAGCCAGTACGGCGCGCTGGGCTTCTCGTACGGCAACCCCGGCGGCGCGTTGACGCGGGTGAGGAGCGCTTGATACTGTCTGTTCAGGTCCGCGAGGAGCTTCACCACGGCGGCGGCGCCTTTTGCGACGGACCGCAGGGCCGAGAGGACGGTGCCCATTGTCGTATTTTCTCGCTTCTCGCTTTCCGTGATGTGTCGTCAATTATACCTGACTATCCCCGCAAACAAAATGTCTTGGCGTTGTGGATGAAGGGCGAAGAAGCACTGATCAAGTTCGTCAAATAAACATGAGATGAAAAAGGAAAGCTGTGACACCATCTGGGGAAAGCAAGGGGGGTCGTCGTGGGTGTGCTACCGAGATATACTTCAAATTCCCCGTGCAGGCTTACATAACGTGGCGCGTCTTTCGGGTTCCGGCACGCCAGAGGGGATCCAAACGCATCCCCAATAAAGTTCATCCACGGTAGAGGGCAGGCGTTCTAGAACAACTCATTTTCCATTTTGTCTAACATCTAAATGACACCCCATCCGAAGCAGCAGCAAAAAAATTGAACGACCAGGCACCTCGCAGGCCCATTTCATCATCATTCAGGAGCACATGCAACAGCCCATCAATGCCTCAAGGAGCGAGACAGGAGCGAAGAAAACACATCAGTTGCCTTGAAGTCTGTAACGTGACGCCAAACCTATGCCGGGTATGTTGTCGAAATGCCATTCCTTACTCCATCGTGTCGTGCCGTTCCTCCGCGCAAAACATGAACCCATCGTCCACACAAAAACCCATAGCTATCAACATGAAAGAAGACACGCACTGTTCATTCATTTACTCGCTGACAGACCCCTCCTCGTCAGAGATGTGGTCGAGGTCCATGTCGATATCCATGTCGACATCCATTCTGTTGTTCCGTCCCATGTGATCCAGACCCATGTCGGCCCGGATGTCTCGCTGGATTTTGAGGAAGTACTTCCTCAACGTACGCAAACCCCGGAGGAAGCCGCGGTCGGGCTCGTTGGGGTGCTGCGGTGGACACGGCTTGCCTTCTGCCAGGTCGCCCTTGGTCAAGCTGTTGGCAAAGTCGGCAATCTTGAAGTCGATCTCGCGCTTGTTCTTGCGCTTGCGCTTCTCGCGCATGGCCGATGTCTCCTCCGTATCAGTCGCAAAGTCGGTGGTGGAATCGTCAACCACCGTATCGTATTCGTTTCCTTCTGTTGTGTCCCCGTCGTAGAACATGAGGAGACTGGCGGCGTAGAAACGATAGCCGTCCAGGTTCCGCACAATAGACTCGAGCTTGTCGAGCTTGTGCAGGATTGTGGGGATGTGCCGGAGAATGCTAGAGTAATCCACGCCGTCGTACAGGAACCGCGTCAGTGCGTCTTGGAACTCCTGTCCGGCCTTGAGGTCGCGCCCAAAGTACTTGTCTTTGAAGACATAGCTCTGGCTCTTGACATCCCAGACCTGGAGGCCACACACGCGCACTCCAAGTTCACGCGAGGTGGTCCTGGCACATTTGCCCTGCTGTGACTTCTTCTTCTTGGGCGTGGCCTCGACACCGTACTGCCGGGTGCCCATCTTGAGATCCATGATGCAGGGCCGTTTCATGCCCGCAGTGAGGTCCTCCAGTAGGAGGAAGTATTCAACACGAGAGTTTCGCTGGGTCTGTGCTTCTTTGGGGTTCACGGGCCGCGGAATCTTGCGGAACTCTTGCGTCGGACTCGGCACTTCTGACGGTACGGCCGATGCGTACGTCGAATGCTCCGCCTCGATCGGAACCTCGGACTGGGGTCTTTCCGCGGCAGCGGGAAGACTCATTTCCTTGGCAGGATCAACCGAGTGCGCACCATTCGGCGTCGGAGGTTCGATCATCGGCGAATTCACTTGGGAATTGGTGACGGATCCAGATTGTCCTTCGTCTTCGCCTCTGTAGCCAGCGTCATCTGCCTCTTCCCAGTACTTCAGGTTTCCTCTAGATTCCGTGACAGTCCGTGGTTTCCGGCGAAGCCCAGTTCCAGAGTAACGACGCTTTTTCTTCTGAGCAATGACCTTGTCCGCCAGCGTCTCCGGCTCCGGCGCACTCGTGCCAGTCACGTCCTTTACGTCGCTGTCCTCGGCCTCCGTAGGCTCCAATTGGGCGGGGTGCTCGATCGTCATGCTTGAGCTTGGGGGCGAGGAGCTGCTGGGGCGTAGCGGGCTGGAGTTGTGAGGTGCATGGCCTTCTGAGGCCATGGGTTCCTGTCTACGAACCAGATCAGGAACAGAGTTGGTAGGCCTCAGGGTGGGTTGCTTCCGGAAAGCCATTGACTTTTGATGGGGACGGCGGTGCTTGTGAATTGGGATTGGCTGTTTCAGAAATGCGTCGTTGAACACCTCGTTCCGCAGACGCTTGTTGACGGTGGTAGCTCCCCAGCTATTGGCGTGGCGGTCGTCCAAACTAGGTCTCGTCGGGGAAGCCATCGTGCCCTGCTCATAGTTGTCCGGGAGGCCTGAAGATGACGTGCTACGACCGCGGGCTGGCATAGTCGTTGGAGGCGGCGTAGGCTGGAAGAGATTCCGCGGTAAGATGTGCCAATTG